ATCAATCTATTTAATGTATCCATCGCTTGACAATTATTTTTGTGGTAAGCCTTTTGAAATTTAATAATATTGTTACCTTTCACATGTGAAGAATGATATTTTTTAATTGAGTAGTTGATGTGACATCTTTGACGCAAAATAATAAACATATTCTCCCATAATTCATGCTGGTCTCTAGTGATTCCAGCAATTGAGATATGATGCAAAAATATTCCATGACAAGGTAGAAAAGTAACTTTAAAATATATCCCTATTAGAAAGAGAATGTGGACAAATAATGGTTCCAGATGAGAAAACACATTTCATGGCTTTTGTTTTCTCATAGACTAAACTTACAAGCTAGGAGTCACATTACAAATTTTAAGAGGGTTCCTTTTTCACCACAGCCACACATTGTTTTATTTCTTCATAATTGCCATTCTATCTGGAATGAGATGGAATCTAAGTATTGTTTTAATTTGCATTTCTCTGATGGGGAAAGATGTTAAATATTTTTTCATATATTTATTGATTTCTTTTTTTATTGAGTTTTTTGGTACATTTTAGGTATACAGTACAGTTACACAAATTATTTGGATCTTTTACATTTACATGACAGATTTTGGTTCTCATTTTTTCCCCTTGTCCCTACTGATTTCTTTCTATGTGAAGTGTCTGTTCATTTCTCTTGCCCATTTCTTGACTGAGGCTTTAATTTTACATGGTGTCATTTTTTTTGAAATTTTAAAATATATTCTTTATATTAGTCTTCTGTCTGAGGAGTAGCTCACAATTTTTCTCATTCCATACATTGTCTTCACTCTAATAAATATTTATTTTTTATACAGAGGTGTTTTAGTCTGTAATATCCATCAACAGAAGATTGGATAAAGAAAATGTGGTATTTATATATACAATGGACTAATACTCAGTTATAAAGAAGGACAAGTTTGAGGCATTTGTAGGAAAATGGATGGACCTGGAAAATATAATATAAACTGAAATAAGCCAGACACACAAGGTATATTACTTTACATCTCTCATTTGAATAAGGCAAAATTCAAAAAGAATAACAAGGTAAAGCTAGAAGAAGACAGGGTGATGATCTATTGCAAAAAATAAAAAAAAGGCAAGGCATCCAAGGGATCAAAGTTGAGGGGTGAGAAGAAAGGCATGTGGAAATAAGTAGAATAAATACATGCCATGTATAGACCCTAATAATCTCAATGGATGTAAACATGCCATGAACATGAACTAAGTTTAATAATATCAACACGAATGAAAACCAGGGAAAAAGAATTCAGGGGATGGAGGCTAGTGGGAAGGGAAAGGAAATTCCAAAAAAGAAACGTGCTGTAGTAGGTACATTTACCCATTCCCCACTATGATTGCAAAATGCATGTACCATAAACATGTACTCAAAATATATAAAAACTTCAGAGACAATCCAAAATCACAGTTTTTTTTATTGTGTGTATATAGGAAGAAACAAATTGTATGTTTTCCTAGTGTATTTTCAAAATAAAATGCTTCTGTGATCAAATGTATGTGATCCTTTTTCTTCTCAATCTCCATGCAAGAAAGAAATTCTGTAGTGAACACCAATTCCATGTATTCTAAGTAAATTCAATTCTAATTTTTTCTACTTGGAAGCAGCATCAGATTTCAAAGGGGGGAGGAATTGGTTTTCAGTATTGTTTCTCCCCATTTAAATGTCACTTGTAAGACCTAGGTTGATTCACTTCTGCTTCAGGTCAATTTGCAAAAAAGTAGAGTTCTCAGGATCTGTTCTTCAAGTTCAAATAATTTTCTAGACCTGCTTACATGAAAAAGTTACATATTTTGACTATGTTATTATAAGGGATATTACAAAAATACTGATGAACATGGCAGGAAGAGATAGAGCAATGTATGAGGGAAGTTATGCAGAACTTTTCTACCCTCTGATTAAGACATCCTCCCAGGAAAAGCCTCTACATGCTTAGCAGTCTCAAATTTCCCCAAATGATACTTCTGGGTTTTTATGGAGGATTCATTATGAAAGTATGTTTGGTTAAACACTGATCATTGGTGGTCAACTTAGACCTCAGCCCTCCTCTCCTTAAGAGTTGCTGTTGAATAGGTCTGAAATCTCTGAGTCCTCTAATCATGGCTTAGTTTTTCCCATTCCCAGACTCATCTTGAAGTTATTTGGGGGATATGAGCTACCAGTCAACTCACTAGTATACAAGAAGACAATCATGGCTATGGGGAGCTCAACTATTTTAGGAATCACTTACCAGTAAATGAGAAAAAGAAAAATATTCATTTTACCATACTGTAATTGTATTTGGGACTCTAGAAATTAGCTGCCTTTCAGTGTTCCTTCCATATCAAAATGGAAATGCAGATACATCTGAGTCAAGTTAATGTATGACATAAGTTTGGAGAGGGATGACCAGAATTTAGTGCTCCAGAATCTCCTTAATGGCTGTGTGGTATAGAATGCATTTTATAGTCTCTTCATGACATGTAGAAATATGGAAAAATTAGTGATGGAGCATTATAATGAGGCCTGAGTAGTGTATTGTAGAGGATACTGGGCACAATCATAGTGAAATACAGAAAAAAAAATCAAAAAGAAAAGTTTTCTTTCCAATCAGAATATAATGTCTAAATGTGAGCACTTAATTTTTTTTTCAAATGATATATAAATTATCATAACCGTTTTCCTAACTTTGTTTGCATTCATCCTGATAGGTTATCTCCACTGAAGTATGGCAGCAAGGGACCATTCTTTATCCCTTATTTTCTCAACTATATTTGACCAAGGTAAGACAAGTACAAGTATGTTTTAGTGCTCCTGTCTTCTCTAGTTCTCTACTACTCTTACTCAAACCTGCTTAGATTTTGGCATCTTGCATCAGGCCATAATGGTTCAAACAAAATTTTCAAATGCAGCCATGCACTGGCAAGTCTGATGATTTTAACAAATGAATAAATACTGAAACTAATGTAAATATATATCTAGACTATGAAGAAAATGCTCCGCAATCTCCATTTGCTTGACCAGTCTACCATGTAGCTATTACTGGAACATTAGTGAACTCAGCTGCAATAATGTCCTTTTATCTGTACCTTAACATCTGGTTTATGCCTAATTTAACTTGGCAGGTCAAGCTGTGTTTTGGAAATAAAGGTTGAAGTAACTTCTACACTGGTTTGAATAAAATGCTAAATTAATTCAAAAGCTCCAGCAGGTCTACAAATGGTTTAAAGACATTTTATCTCTATCTTCACCTCTTTACCTAGAAAATTCTGTAGTCTTCTGTTTTGAAATAGCAACAGTGGCAGGTATAAGAAACAAATGAGGGTATTTGTTGTAATTTTTTTAGATATTGCAGTGATGCAACATCAGAATGTTCATCTATGCTGAACTTGACATATTAGAGAGCTACATTCTTTACATAACCAGAGGAAATAGATTTTATTTAAAACCATAGTACAAATATAGTCTTACAAATTATTCTGTTTTAAACTTAAAAGATTGTTGTGCATTTTATAAGCATCTCTCTAGATTTTGATGGTTTCACAATGTAAAATACCAAGATCTTTTAGAGTATATACTGTAGAAATTCTAAAATTGAATATTTACTTAAAATATACTTCCAACAGGTTTGGTTCAATATTTCACATTGTAATTTTATAACTGAATGGAAGTAAGAACTTAAAGTTAAAATACTACTCAAAACACCTTTTTAAATTAAGTTTAAAAGTGTTCTTTTTGTGAATATATCATCAACATTTCCCTCCAGATAAATATATCATTAACATAAAAGCATATGTTGGTAAATAAAAGTTAGCTACAAAATTGTACATGCATAATAAAGATTCTGGTGTTTCTAAATGTTAATATTATACAACACCCTCTAAATTTTAATGCACTTACATGTTTTTAAAAATTTGACTAATTTAATCATATGTGTTTACAGAGTTCACATAAATATTTGAGAATATTACTGTATTCACATATGGCCATGACCAACTGAAACTGAGGTTAGAGTTTGTATCAATCATAAATATTCACTGTTATTATAAAAATCATGTAAGTAACATCACAATAATATATCACTAGCAACTATTTCACTGGCAACAACGTTAATATAACTAATTTAATCATATGTGTTTACAGAGTTCACATAAATATTTGAGAATATTACTGTATTCACATATGGCCATGACCAACTGAAACTGAGGTTAGAGTTTGTATCAATCATAAATATTCACTGTTATTATAAAAATCATGTAAGTAACATCACAATAATATATCACTAGCAACTATTTCACTGGCAACAACGTTAATATATAAACAAAGTATGCCAATAAAGTAGTTTTTCAGCCATGAAATTATAAATATTTTCATGTTGATAAATGTGAATGATTATTTCATTTTGGGGCATATTATTTGAAAAAATTGGTATCTCGCTGACAACCAGACTTTACATTTTAAGATACAGAAACTATCTTTGTATACTGAATTATATTCCAGACAATAGTGCATGATTTTTCAATTTAAAAAATTGAAAGATTATACCAGCAGTATGTGACAGAGCTGTGATATATTCACAATTTTATCAGAATTCAAATTCATACTTTCATATCCTGACAATAAGCAGTATTAAACAATTTTCAGATTGTTGAACATTATATAAATGTACCTAAGAGTTGCAATTGGCGAAGAGGAAAAAACTTCTAATGGTCTTATTAGAAATTACTAATGCTTTTATAAATATTTTATTTCACCATTACTAATTTTATTAAGTATTTTAACATTTGTAGTAACAAAGCTAAATCTGACCAACTAGATTTCCCTTTATATTATCAACTGTAACAGCATGCAAAATTAGACTTCATGTGCATTTCATGTTGAAAACCTTGTTTAGGCTACATAAATAAAAAAATTCCAAATAGGTATTAAAATGAAACATTTTTCAGCTTTGGTAATTAATTACTGAATGAAAGCATAGTTCTTCTTTTGCCCTTTTTACTATTCTCTTTCTTGAAATTACCCAGTTTTATTATACTTGACAAAGATAATTTTAAGGTAGTTTCATCACCACAACACATGCACCAGCTCTTCCAATGTTAACAGGAACTTCCTAAAACAAAAACAAGGAAACAAGCACTGTTTGAACTCTGTCTTTGATATACAACAGAATGTTGGATTAGAAAACTCCTTACTTATTTTGGTCCAGTACTTTATCTTGTATAATGATAAGAGAAAACACAGTCCAGGTAACAGTGTAATGTGGAGAAAAGCATTTAAAGTAATGTTTAAGTGTCAGATCATCTTGAGTGAATTCCAACTCACTCACAGTTTTCTCACTTGAAAAATACCTGTCAAAATACTTTTACCGGGTTAAATAATGAAAAACAAGAATTTACAGTACATAACTACAATTCCACACTGTTAATTCTCACTCACTATTCAATATCAGATAATGAAAGAATGACAGAGCCAGAAACAATATCTATGTTTCCCTAGTTACTGGTGGGTGTATAATCTTTAAAAAAGTAAATTCTGTAAGCTTAGCCACACATTTGTACTACTATAATTGATATAACACCTTGTTACCTATATTTTCTTTCATTTTTGTTTTGTCTTAAACATTTTAAAGTATGGAGCTAGCTACATAGCAGGATTTGAGGCATTCTGAGAATTTTGTTAAACCATATTTTTGTGAGACAGACATAGAAACCAGTTATCAGCTCAGGTAATATTAATGGCTGTTTATTTAAAACCCAATACATTTTAGTGTAAGATGAAGTCACTATAATGTAAGTGAAGTTGAATCTTAACCAGATTCAACTTGCCTGTTTGTGTAGATGGTAAAGAGTTAATGATATACCACTTTTATTAACCTATTATTTAGTTGACAATCTATCAATATTTTAAAAAATATGTCAAGGGTTAGCACTTGTAAAGCTCTCAAAAGGGCCATTTGCATTTAGCACTTGCAAGATGCCCTTGCAGTGCTTCTTTTTTTTACCATCCTTGAAATTTGCACTATTAAATGCTCACCTCCTTTGAGAAAGTTTAATTTTGGTGACCTAGAGTATACCAAATTTCTTGAATAACTGAAGAAGTTAGGAGCACTGTGATTTACACAGTCTTTGTAAGAGGAGTTTGAAGTGTTTTTTTTTTCTTCTGTGCATCAGCTGATAAGGAATATTCTCTTTCATGTAAGTGTTAATGAATCCTGATAAGGATTAACTAGACCAGCTAGTAATTTTCTAAGTCATAGACTAAACACATACTACTGATACAACCAAAAGATTCTTTTAAGTTCTAGAGTTGAAGAGAATAGAATTAATTTCAAAAATATATTTTAAAACCTGACATATACTCATTTGAATATTTTTTAGGAGAGTACCTCATTCCATTCATTTTTCTGAGCATCATATGACTCAACAGTGTTCAAATAAGTGTGTCCATCATATCCTCCAACCACATAAAGTTTCTCTCCAAGGGAACACACAGCAACAGCATCTCGAGGAACACTCAGGGGTGCCATAGTTGACCAGGAATCATTTTTTGGATCATATCTTTAAAAGTTTAAGAAGACAATTGAGAGAGAAAAGGAAATCATGTTACAGTATAAAACAACAGGTATTTATAAATGCACACATATCTATAACAGAATTAAAAATACATTATAAATATCAAGTGATGCTTGAATAGTAATCTTAAGAATATGTATGTTACAAAATTCTCTTCACCCACCAGAGATCTCTCAAGCCTATCAAAACAGTATTTTTTCTTAAATATTGTGCATTGACTTAATCTTCACTGATTGTTTTTGAGGAAATTTCACATATTGTGAAATTAACATTATATGAAAAATAATCCCTTTCTCAGTCTTCAAGTTAGGATGCTTATTAATTATTTGATCAATAACTTATATATGTGATGCCGATCTTTTTTAAATGAGAATTCATGTTTATTTAAAATGAAAGATGACAGGAAACAGGGAGGAAAACTTTGTGTACATGGGAAGAGAAAGCAAAGTACAAAAGATCAAGATCAAGATGTAACATATATGTCTACCAATACACCAAAATGAATATATTTATTATGTGTTATACACAAATAAAAATGTAAAAATAAGTCAACATAAATGGAACTGCTTTTGTGATGCTATTATTTCCTTCTATATTAGTACATATTTGCAGTACACAATATTTATATTCCTTATGTGAAGTGGGTACATGTAAATAACGCATATAAATTTTGTTCTTTTAATCCCTTTTCCCTCCCACTTCCTGCATCTCCTGATCTCTTTCCCATTTGAGAAAGACAAATCTCCCTACTTCCTCTTATCTATCTCTCATTTTGCTCTTTAATTACGATTTGGATTTCTCATATAAGAAATATCATGTAATATAATTTCTTTTTGTTAATACTGCTTAATGTGATGTAGTACTTTGATTTTAATATTATTGTCATTAAAATGACTATGTTATTATTTTATTTCCCTTCACTGAGATCTTATCATCACCAGACACTAGGACTGTTTTACATTTTAATCTGAAGATAATTCCTTATCTCCAAACATATTCAGTAAGCAGAATAAAAATAATTGAATAGATAATTCAGTAAAATTGAAATGAAAATGTAATTAAAAATTAACAGCAAAAGAAAAGCATAGAACTTTATGGCTTCACTGATGAATTCTGCATGACATTTGGAAAAGAACTATTGACACTACTGTTTAAACTCTTCAATGACATTGAAATGGAGGCAATATTCAAAATTGATTCCTGCAAGCAAATGTTATTTTGATTTCAAAAGCAGGGAAAGATGAAACCAAAAATGAGAACTACAGGCCAATCACCCTAATGAACATAGATGCCTGAATTCTCTGTAAGATAATGGCAAACAGAATTCAGAGGGTCCTCAAGATCCTGACCAAGTCAGACTTATCCCAGGCATGCAAGGATGGTTCATCATAATAAATCAATAAATGTAATACACTATGTTAAGAGAGACAGTGATGAATATCATATGATAATCTTAAAAGATTCAGAAAAAGCATTTGACAGAATTCAACATCCATTCATGACAAAAACCCTACCAAAAATTGAAACCGATAGTTTAAATCAACCTGATGAAGGCTAACTGTGAAAAACCAACATCCAACATCATACTAAATGCTCAAATAATGAAAGCTTTTCTACTAAATATGGAACAAAGCAATGATGTATACTATTAAGTATAGTTCTGGACACATTAGCCATGGCAATTAGACAAGAGAAAGAAATAAAAGGAATAAAGATAGCAAAGAAAGAAGTTAAGCTGTCACTATTTGCTGACCACATGATATTCTACACAGAAGACCAGAATTCTAGACTTAATTAACAGGTTCAATAGAGTAGCTGGATACAAGGTCAACACTAAAAAATCTATAGCTTTCTTGTAAACAAATAACCGAATCACTGAGAGAGAAACTAAGGAAACAATTCTTTTCACAATAGCATCCAATAAAAAAGAAGAAAGAAATATCTAGGAATCAATCTAACAAAGGAAGCAAAGGACCTCTACACTGAAAATTACAGCACTGAGAAAAAAGAGATAGAATAGGATATAAGAAAATGGAAAGATGTCCCTTGTTCCTGGGTAGGAAAATGGCCATACTACAAAAATTGCTCTACAGATTCAGTGCAATCCCAATGGAAATTCCAACAGTATGTTTCACAAAACTAGAGAAAATAATAGAAAAAAATTCATTTGGAACCAGAAGAGACCTAGAGTAGCAGAAGCAATTCTAGGCAACAGAGACATGACAGGGGTTTCGTTTTATCCAAATTCAAACTATACTACAAAGCCATTGTGATAAAAGCAGCAATGTACTGGCAAAGTAACAAACTCAAAGATCATTGGAATAAATTAAAATATGCAGAAACAACTCCAGACATAATCAGCTACCTCATCTTTGAAAAGGAGCCAACCATCCTCACTGGAGGGAATATAGCCTCTTTAATAAATGATGTTGGAAAACCTGTATTTCAACTTGCCTAAGACTAGAACTGGACACTCTCTTTCACAATGCACTAAACTAAAATCAAAGAGGGTTAAAAATCTAAATATTAAAATACAAACACTAAACTTGGTAGAAGATAAATTAGATAGAACTCTTGAAAACAATGGCATAGGAAAACACTTTATGAACAAAATCTCAGGAGCACTGGAACTAGCACAAAGGATCAACAACTGGAATCTCATCTTTGCAAAAAGCTTCAGCACTTCAAGTGAAACCAACAACAGACCTAAGAGATATCCTACAATGTGGACAGAATTTTTTATCAGCTGTTCCTCAGACAAAGGTCTACTATCTAAAATATATAAAGAACTTACAAAATTAGTACCCCCAAAATTTAAAGACCCAGCTAAAAAATGGACATCTGAAATTAACAGACATTTCTCAGACAAAGAAGTAAAAGCATCAAATAAATATATGAAAAATGTTCAAGATCACTGGTCATTTGAGAGAAGCAGAAGAAATCAACACTGAGGTTCCACCTCACTCCAGAAAGAATGGCTGCTATAAAGAAATCAACCACCCCCAAGCCTCATCAGAGAAATGGTGAGAGGTACAGAGAGGTGTGGCTTGAAGGCTAACCCATCCCATCCCCCTAGGCCTCAGAAGAGGATAGGTGAGAGGTACAGGCAGGTGGGTGCCAACAGCTCCCCACCCTGATGAATGCCTGTGGACTCCTAGCTGGGGTGGTAACTGGATTCACACAAGGAGGCACAAGGCGTCATAAAAGCCATTTTTCTGAGCTCCAGCTGTGATTTTATTTTAATTATCATGGTTAAAGGTGATAGAGTAATAACTACCACAAATTGTCATTTTTTAAGCTGGGCTATATGCTATTGTTTTGTTGATTGTATTACTGAAGCTAAGGTGTTGTGATTGCACTAATCAGTTGTCCTTCCTTATTTTATGAAAATAAGAGTGTCTCAGAGTCATTACAGATTCAAAACCTAAATACAAGCTATAACAGTAAGATTGAAGTATTAACCCAGAAATTAAACCAAGGATAGTACAAACAACAAAAACAGAAATGAGAACACATTCAAGCAAGGCACAAATAGAAACACAGACTGCCAGTTCACCAAAGAAAAATTCAGAAAAATCTAATAATTAACCACCTGGACACCCTGAAATGATAGCACAGGAAGTAATAAAACAGATGAATGAGTCTCTAGAAAAATAAAAAATAGAAATGATTTTCAAGATATCTACAGAGATGGTGAGCAGAATGAAAGACATGATTAGAGACTCTAGAACAGAAACAGATAAAAAGTTCATTTGGAACCAGAAGAGACCTTGAATAACAAAACCTATTCTAGGCAGCAGTGACATGGCAAGGGATATATCAATCCCAACTTGAAGCTATACTGCAAATCTACTGTGATAAAAACAGCATGATATTGGCACAGTAATAGACCTGAAGATCAGTGGAATAGATTAGAAGATGGAGAAACAACACCAGATATACTCAGCTACCTCATCTTTGACAGAGGAGCCAACCATCCTCAGTGGAGGCAAGATATCCTCTTTGAATTTGGTATTGGAAAACCAGGATTTCAACTTGCCTAAGATTAAAACTAGATGTCTATCTTTCACCTTGCACTAAACTAAAATCCAAGTGCATTAAAGATCTGAAGATTAAAACAGAAATAATAAGCTTATTGAAAATTAAATTGGGTTGAACTCTAGAAGACATTGGCATAGGAAAAGACTTTATGAACAAATCCTCAGTGGCACAGGAGGTAGCACAAAGAACCAACAGCTGGGATCTCATCTTTTTGAAAAGTTGCTGCACTTCAAGGGAAACCACTAGCAGAGCTAAGAGACCACCTATGATGTGGGGAAAAATTTTATGAGCTGTTCCTCAGACAAAGGTCTACTATCTACAATATATAAAGAAATAAAAAAATCAGATCTCCCAAATTTAAAAACCCTATTAAAAATGGGCATCTGAAATGAACAGACATTTCTCAGACAAAGAAATAAAACCAGCAAAGAAACATTTGAAAAAATGTTCAGCATCACTGGTCATTAGAGAGATGCAAATGAAAACAACACTGAGATTCCACCTCACCCCAGAAAGAATGACTGCTATGAAGAAATCAACCAATATCAAATCTTGGTGGGGTTATGGGGAGAAAGGAACCCTTCTCCACTGTTGGTGAGAGTGCAGACTGGTGCAACCACTGTGGAAATCACTATGGAAATACCTTAAACAACTGGGATTAGAAGTCCCATTTGACCCAGCTATTCCTATGCTGAATTTCTTCCCAAAAGAATTAAAAGAATCATATCACAGTGATATATGCTCACCCATGTTCATGTTTATAGTGGTACAGTTTATAATAGCTAAATCTTGGAAACAGCCTAATTGTCAATCAATCTTTTCTACACAGAAGTACATATATTCCAGTCTTATGTTTCTTATTTATATATAAGGCTCACAGAGACATCAGATTTATCTTAAAACATACACAAAACTCAAACTGATTTTACTAGGTTTTTATATTGTTCTCAATGAAATATTATTAGAGAGTAATGTAAGATGACAATTTAGATTGAAGACCTTATTATTCTACAAAAAAAATTAGAGAATGGTTAATAGACAATACATATATACAGACAATTAGGGTAAGATAACTTATTAGGAAATAGAATCGAATACCTGAAACTCTAAAAAAGAGCATGACTTAAAATCTTGGGGAAATTTAAAAAATTTTAAAGTAGCCCTTATTGGAGAATCACACACACACACACACACACACACACACACACACACACACCCTTAAAAATATATATATATATGTTCTTAAGTCTTTATGTTGAGGTAATCCCAGTTACACAAAAGGACTTCATGACTTGCTAAACAGTGATGGTCTTATATACATAATCAATCTCTAAGACTAGGAGATAAATCTGTTCATTTTTTATAATTTCCAATTTTCAACAAAATATTACAATAAGAAGAAGCAAAACAAACATATCTATTGAAAATAACAAGGTATACATCTAGAAACTGTTCCTGTAAAATCACAAGTATTTGATTTACAAGATGAGGACATTAAAACAACTTTCTCACAATATGAGAAAATGAAAAAATGGAAGTAAAGTGTTTGAAAATGGAGAGGGGAGGAGGGGGTGAAGGGAGGGCAGGGACACGGGGAAAAAATTAGAACCAAGATCTGTCAAGTAAAGGTACAAGATCTCAGTAATGAATGTAACTGTACTGTATACATAAAATGCACCAATAAACTCAATAAGAGAGAAAAAAATGTCATATATGAACAGAAAACCCAGAGGTAGCACTTTACTTAGGAGTGAAATAATTTTCCTCTATGGTCGGAAAAAACAATATGCTCCTTTCAACCACTTCTGTTCAAATAGTACTAAAAGTCTTACATAAAGCAATTAGGCAGTAAAGAGAAGTGAAAGGTTTTCTTCTAAGTTTTTCTTTAACCTATACCCATGATAAAATTGTACTTCCACTTTAAATTCAGGGTATCACTGGGGCTTCTAATCAGAACAATTAAGCAAAATAAATATATAGATAAATAAATTGCACCCAAATTGAAATAAGGAATCAAAGAAGTAACTAATAAATTGAAAGGTAGTTATTGTTTATGAATTTAAGAACTTAATATTATTAAGATATCAATATTATACAATGTGGTCTATGCATTACTGTTACCTACACCATTATATAACAGTAACTTTTTCTCTGTATATATAAAAATCCACCATAAATTCATTTGAAGTATTGAGGGAACCATAACTCAAAGAAATGCCAAGAAAAATAAATTAGGATGTCTCAAACTTGGTGAGTTGCAAACGCATGACAATGTTACACTAATTATAAGTAAGTAATAATTATATTAGTCATAATTATAGTTATATTAATTATAGTATTTGGAAATGTTATAACAAAAAACATAAAAGACAAATGTAAGAAAAAAGGGATCCTGGAATCAAGGTCTCTCATTTTTTACCATTATTTCAAGCCACTCAATGGAGAAAATAATCTTTTCAACAAAAGGAAAATTGAGTATCTACATGCAAAAATGAAATCCAATTTATATTTTATACTTAACAAAATCTAAATGGGTCAATATCTTGTTATGAAATTAAAAAATAATGAACTATGAGAAGAAAATAGACAAAAAAGTTTTATAATATTGGATTGATAATCATTCTTTAGATGTAACAACACAATGCAGTCAATAAGAATAGATAAATTAGATGTCATGCAAATTAAAAACAAACAAACAAAAAAAAACTTTGGGGCCAGGGATTTAGCTCAGCAGCTTGGGGGCCTGCCTTGCAAGAGCAAGGACCTGAGTGCAATCCCTGGTACAAAAAAAAAAAAAAAAGACTTTGTATCAAATGATAATACAATTATAGTTAAAAGAAAAGCAAAGACTAAGAGAAATTATTTGTAAAGTATATATCAAATAAGGGATAAACATAGAATATATAAAGAATTCTTGTAACTCAACATCAAAGAGACAAACACCTTGACTTTTAAATTATGTAAAGTACTTGAATATGTGTTCTTCTAAAGAAAATATTCAAATAGCCAAGAGCACAGACAAGAAGCTCAATATCACTGATCATTATTTAAATTGAAATCACAATTGCAATGAGATGACACGGCATTCCCATTAGAAGGGCTATCATTTAAAAAATCAAGATAAAATAATATTGGGAAGAATCTGCAGAAACTACATATTTTTTATTTATTTGGTGGGAACAAAAACTCATACAGCCACTATGGAAAACCGTATGGTGGCCCCTCAAAAATTAAAAATATAAAAATTACATGATTCAGCAATTCCTCTTATGAATACAGTATATACAGTATATATATAAATATTTGAAAATGTTTTGAACAGATATTTGCACACCTGTGTTCATTTCTACCATGGTCACAGTAGCCAAAAGGCAGAAGCAACTCAATTGTCTATTGATAAATGAACAGATAAACCAAATATGATATATGCATGCAGTATAGTATCATTGAGCCTTATAAAAGGAGTAAAATTTTTTTCTTCATTGAGTTTACTGGTACATTTTAGGTGTCCAGAACAGTTACATTCATTATTGGGATCTTGTACCTTTACATGACAGGTCTTGGTTCTCATTTTTTCCCCTTGTCCCTGCCCTCCCTTCACCCTCTCCTCCCAGGAGTGAATTTTTTAATTACCATAGATCTGTTTTTTCCTCTAAGAAACTTTATTTAATAATTAATTTTAATAATTAATTCAATTGCATGCTCTCCTGAAGAAAAATAATTTCCTTCAGTGTTTTCTTCTTTTATTCTATCCTTTATAACACTGATCCATTTCCTCCAAATTGCTTTCTTCATGATATTCAAATTCCTCCCAAGTGAGTCATTTCTCTGTTAATAAGATAAAATCTCAAAGCATTCACCTTGATATTTTAGGACACAAGGTAATCTGATCAGTAGTTGTTATAAGACATATTATACTTATTTTAACAAAAAGTATTACACATACAAAAAGAATATTTATTGTTTAAAGAATCTGAGCTGCAAAAATGTACTAATGTAACTGTACTGTATCCCTAAAATGTACCAATAAACTCAATTAAACCTGAAAAAAAGTACTAATAACAATTTGTATACCTACTCTCAAATTTAGAACAATTCTTATGCATTTTAGTTCTCAAATATTTTATAAAATGTGTCTCACTGTATTTTAGGGAATATGAAATATAATCATTTTTCAGAAAATTGTTATGATTTTTCATTGGTAATTCTGTCTACTTTTTGTGGTAGTACAGTCATTAATTTGAGGATTGCTATTAGAAACAAATTTAATTTGGCTTGATTCTGATAAATCGATTGATCGATATAGCTTACCATTGATTTTCTTATTTTCATTATTTTTTTCTCATTATTTTATAATGTGACTAAAATACAGTTTGACACATTTTATAAAGTATTTTAGAACTAAAGTGCATAAGAATTGTTTCACATTTGAGAGTAAGTATACAAATTTTTATTAGTACATTTTGCACTATATATTTGCATTGTTTGTGGAGTTGGTAATTGTACATAATATGTCTAAATTATTTTCTCCTCTTTCTCGTCCTTCCTTCATCTCTTTGTCCCCTTTCCAAATTCCCAACTGAGAAAGATATATCTCCCTTTCTATTACCTACCTTTCATTTTCCTCTTCACTTAAAAATTGAGGTTCTCATATAAGAGAAACCATGTGATATTTAAGCTTGTGTGTCTTTTATAAAAGATTGATCCACTAAATAGATAAATACTTACTTAGAAGATTACTTTCTATTAGTTTGAAAATATTTCCAAATTCTGAAAAAATGAATAAACACACAATGGAACACATAAATAAATGGAAACAACTTACCGTTCCACACAGTCAGAAAGCCTAGAGCAATGATTAGAAGCAGGAGCATCATGACCCCCTACAACATATAAGAATCCATTATATGTTGCAACGCCCACACCTCCACGTCTCTTGGACATTGGAGCACACAGATTCCACTTGTTAGTGTGTGGGTCAAAGTATTCCACTGATTTGAGGCAGGAGCTTCCATCACGTCCACCAATAGCATATATCCTAGAAAATATTATTGTGTATGTGTGTGTATAAATGAACAACACACATGAAAATTAGATTCAGGAACTTCCCATTTTATGTCTCTGAGGATTCTGATTACATATTCTACTCCCTCACTATTTTGACTTTGTTAATGTATGCTCATCTGGTAGCACTTGTTAAACTCCAGGCTTCTTCAACCTCTTTACTTCAACATTTTTGTTAAAATAAATTTGATATACTAGAATAAAATATTGGATGGGGAAATATATGTAGAAAAATGAGTGAAGTATCAAAATATTTGAGAGTATCATTTCAAAGTCCAGCTCCAAAAACCTTACATTTTTACTCATGTCTAACTGTTATGAAGTAATCTAAGTAGCATAAGATATTTGCTACTAAAATGATATTAATTTAACAACCAACTAAGGGACTAGAGAAAAACCTCCCAGCTAGGTTTTTTCTACAAGGGATATTGGTTATGACATTTTCTCATTAACTTTAAAATACTAATTCTTCCCAGTACAACGAAAAAAGGGAATCACAAAATACCAATTCTTTTGATGCATACTAAGTTTCTCTTAAATGTTTTAGTACGTTTGTAGTATATAATGCTTACTTACCTTGTGGGGAGTTGGTACATGTACATAATAATAATTTAATCTAATTTAAAATTAATACAGCAATGATAAGATAGATAGTCATTAAACCATATGCCTTAACTACTCTTCATGATGATTTGTGAACAATAGCAACTCAGTAAAACAAAACTAAATGGGTCAAAATCCATAATATCAGTCAATTCTATTTTATGTAACCAGCTAGTACTCAATTACTTAACATCATTTAGCTCAGGACAAATCCAGTCAGGTTTATGAGTTCTTTAAACTCTTAATGCGTTGCAAATATTTATCTTCTTAGTTGCAAATATTTCTATTTCACCTTGTGTGAGGTTCTAAAACCTGTCCATGTTCAAATTTCTACTGACCTCTTACATGAAGGTATTGTCATTGTGTATGGTCAGTACAGACACAAGGCTCAGTCCTATACTGACATATACTGTTATCTGAAATTCGTACCATGCAAAGCCCTTCAGTACGCTGGTCACTCCTTCCAAAGATCCACTGTTAAAAAGCACAGAACCACTCGGTAATATTTCAATCTATAGCGTCATCAGGTTTATTATGTTAGCATGATCACATAAGGAAGTGATAATAAGATGTAAATATTGAGGAAGGGCAATGTCTTATTTTATAGTTGGAAACCCTGGACACTCAGAAAAGGGATTCCTGAGGAAATAGACTCATCTTGCCAAACAGTGACAAAAAATTGTTTTGAAAAATTGAGAGAAAATCATAACATACCAAAGTGGAATCTACTTGAGGTTAAAATTGGAACTCACTGCCTACAAGAATTTTCAAAATTTTGGGCACATACCTCCCTAAGATGTTTTGAAATGTAGATTCCTATTCAGGACATCCATGGATAGCCTATGATTTATCATATCAAAAATATCTCAAGAAATGCTTATGGTGTAGAACTACATTTTGAATAGCAAGCATCCACATAATACTTATTTAAGTGTGTATTTTAGACATATATATTCCATCATGATGAATGGGGAGTTCACACAAAGCATTTTATATCAGAACAAGGTTCTGATTATTCTATTTATTTGAAATAAATATTTAATGAATTATGTAGTGGAACTTCTGTGCCACATGACTAAAAGCAAAAAACATGTGTTTGGACTTACCTGTTGTTTAATGCAACAACACCAACTGTACTTCTAGGAATTGACATACTGGCCACATAATTCCATTGGTGTCCCTCAGGGTCCCATCTTTCCACAGTATTTAGATAGCTCCAACCATCATGACCACCTACAGCATACATTGGTCCTTCCAGTGTGACTACACCTGAAATATAAAATAGTATGAAAACTCACCTAGGTGTGTCAAGCACAATATGCATTGTTTCATTTTGCAAACAACTGATTTTTCAAAAATTAGTATTTTTTCTTAATTTGTGTGTGCATGAATAAATAAGTATATCTGATATGAGGCTAAGTATGATCTTTTATCCCTCAGAAACTTTCAGTCACATTTAATTGCATCATTAAATGGTATTAATGTTGCAATACTGAAGTCAAAAGAAATTCAGCACCATTTGTAGGTATATAATGAAAGTTGGAAGCTGCTTTTTTTTCTGGCAGAACTTCATTCCTTTTTTTGATTCAAAGCATAAATAAGATGTAATGTTCAGACTTAGCTAAATCTTGCAATAGGAGCTGAATGTGGTATGTCTTTTCAACTCCAGAAAGATTTGGGTGCGATAGATAAGTAGACATGATATTTTAAAAAATTAGTACATTTGCAGTACATGATGAATACATTTATTGAGGGTGGTTGGTACATACACATGACGCACCTTAATTTATTCTTGTATCTGCTTCCCATTTCCCTCTCCCTCCTACTCTTAGTTTCTTTCTCATTTGCCAAGGATATATCTCCCTGTTTTGAAGATACACATAGCTTTTTGAGGGTTTAACTAAAGATTTGTCTTGTTAGGTAATATAAAAAGCTACGTTATGTTTCTTACTTTTTATGAGAATTCACATTCACCATTTTTTTACTACCCCAATCAGTCTCTCAGTGATATATTCTCATTACTTCTCTTATCTCTTTACTAATGTATATTAAATTGACAAGAGCTTGGTCTGATTTTTTTTCACCAGATGGGCTTTCTTATCAGTATCGAAGAATTAAAGTGACATAATTGAGGTGAATACTTATATAGCAAAAATATTTGGCAGAAACATTGTACTGTGTCAGGATAATTGCTGGCAAGAAAAATGCCCGTCTTACATCTGCCACTTTATAACTATATCAAACTTGATTATTTTTTCAAAAATCAATGACCTGGTTTTCACGAAACACTATGATGTTGAAAACATGGTGTCTGTTATAAAGAAATAGTCAGGAAACAAATATTCAAGATAATCAAAATTACTTTTGATGAAATGTGGTTTTGTCTTTTCTTGGAGGATACATAATCTGTTGTTCTAGATACACAATCTGTCTCTGTCATTGTCTAAATTGAGCTAAAGAGAAAGTTTCTTGTGGCAATCTTGGATTCCTCAATAATATAACCCTTAAAGTTGCTATTTTTCATCATTTGGAACCCCCTTTAAAAAGTGGTGGAAAGGAGGCAAAACTAATAAGTATGACACCTCTTACAGTTAAAGTTTCAGTTAAGCTTTTCAGCAATAGGAAAATAATTTGACTAATACTTTTCCTAAATCCCAATAAAGTATACCTCAGGGTACTTTTTAAAGGCTTTAATAGGAATAAATTCTTAATTAGCTATAACGTTAAGCTCTTACCTAAGCCATGTCTATGTGTTGACATGGGAGGCATCAACATCCAGATTTTTGCCACTGGATTAAAACATTCTACAGTATTCAAAGTTTTTAAACCATCTCTTCCTCCCACAATATAAAGCTTATTATCAATAACTGCAACTCCAAACTGAAGCCTACGGCCATTCATGGTGCCTATATGCAGCCAACTGTTGGTCCTGAGGTCATATTTTTCAATTGTAGTGGTACCTGTTAAAAGAATATGAAACAATGTTAAAATCACTTGTTTTAAAATTGGCATCATTCAGAATATACTTTTATTTGTAGCGCAGTATCAGTGATTGCTCTTCAAATTAAGTAAGCAACCTAGGTGATAGTATAATCTAAAAGCTGAAAAGGCTAATACTTTCATCACATCTAGATAAGAATGAGTCATAATAACATAATTTAAATATATGGTTAAAACCATCATAACACCTTCTTTGACTATATTACACTACTACTGATACTGATACAGGTGTCAAACATCACGTTTTACATTTAAAACACCTTTGATTCTATTTACTAAGCATTTACATATATTTTACAGTTTATTTATTATCATTCAATATGCTATCTTATGTCCTTTTCCTTTAGTTTGTGGTTTGTGCTTGTTTATGTATGTATACTGATTTAAAAGAAAGAATAATAATTATTTTATTGAAATTGTTAGTGTATATTTTTTGCTTTTCACCATTTCTGTTATTATTATTATTATTATTATTTATATTTTAAGATTATTGCTACATTTTAAGTATACAATATGATGGTATTCATTATTGGGAATTTGTACCTATACATGATATATCTTGGTTCTTATTTTTCCCCATTACCCTGCCCTCTCATTAATCCCTCCACACTTCCCTATATTTATTTTATTGTGGCATTGTCATACATGCATATAACATGCTTTAATCATATATGACCTCCCTAATCCTCTCATATGCACTCTCTCCAAACATTTCTCATTCCCTAATAGTCACCCTTGTATTTTAATGGCATAAGTTTTATCTAAATTCCACACATGAGAGAAAACATTCCATAGTTGTCTTTTGGATACTGATTTGAGTCATTTAACTTAATTCTCCTCTTCTATTCATTTTACTGTAAATGGTCATATCTAGTTGTTTATGTCTGAATAATACTCTATTGTTTACATACCACATTTTATTTATCCATTCATGCACTGATAGAGATGTAGGCTAATTCCACAAGGTGGCTTCTGTAATGCTTATTACAAGTCTTTCATAATAGTTTCTGCAATTTTTTATTTAAAGCTGATTTTGTACAACAAGGAGGCTTCAAAATATAAGGTGGTGGCAAATGATAAATTATTAGTCACTTCTATAATGTATGTAAGACATTTTAAGGAGGATTTAGGACACTTCATCTTATATGCACAAAGCTACCCAAAGGAATAAGCAAAAAGCACTATCCAATTGTTTCATTAGTAAAATATTTTTGGAGAAATGTAATGCACTTTCTTACAATGATAATACAGTTAATATCTGAGGTATATGCACTGGCTATGGTATGGTGGACATATGAAGTTAAAATTTAAGCAGAATATATATTAGACTGATAGCTGATTCTGAAAGCTTGTTTTGGATTACATTTGTGCTGGATAAAACTATCTTTTCTGAGCTAAACACATTTGAGTGATATTAAAACTGCAATATCTACAAACACATTTACTTTCATCTACTTGCTTTGTTTATATTTTTCTGAATGTTTTAGTTTTTCCACTACATTATTCCAATTTTCTCAAATCTTTCTTTGTACATTTTTCTTCTTGTTTTAAATTTTTCATCAGTTGATTTACCAAAAAGCTAATTTGAATTAGAAAATGAATTCTAGGCTGAACTATTTATTAACATTATGGATATATTTATTTAAAAATTTGGTTCATATTGAGGATATACTCTTAAGTGAAATAAAGAAGTCACACATGTGCAAATACTGAATAGCTTCTCTGGTGTGAAAAACTATAATAATACATAAGATCCTAATGGAATAATTGACAATGTGAAATAGGAAGAAAAGGGCTAAAGGTGTAGGGGAAGTGGGAAGGGTAGGGGAAAGGAAGTAAGGAAAAAGGAAAAAAAAACAAGAGAAGATGAAAAAATAGAAATAAAGTATTTGTAAATAGGAAAGGGAGGAGGGGATGAAGTGAGGGCAGGGGTAATGGGAAAAATGAGAACCAAGATCTGTCAAGTAAAGGTACAAGATCCCAATGATTAATGTGTCTGTACTGATGAATGTAACTGCACTGTATACCTAAAATGTACTAATAAACTCAATGAGAAAAAAACTTGATAGTTACATTAATTAGCTATATACAAAAGTTTACATGGAAATACACAGATGTATGCCTTGTGCTGTTTTTTTGAAGACATTAAATTAAATATGAGCGATAACAATTTCTCACCCTTGTTATAAAATGGCAAATGTTTGTATTTAGTCTCTCTGTATCATGAATTCTAAAGACTTCTCTACATTCTTTCACTCCTCCTCAAAATGTTTTAAGTCATCAAGATGGTAGGGTCTGTAGCATACTACAGGAGCTCTAAATTTAATGGAAAAAATTAATAGATTTTGTACTGAATTACTTGTTTATAAATTTTATGTGTAAATCAAACTCCTGTTAGAATGTTGCAAACACCTTTTCAATTTATTTTTAAACTCTTACTTAATCCATATTTATGACCCTTGCAAGAGGGAACAAAGTGCACCAAACATTATAGTATTCCTAGGAACACTATTATAATTCCTGCAGTTGTGAATTTATCTGACTTAATGATTTGCTTTATTCATTTAAAAATGATCTAAAAGTTACTATATCTATCTTGACTTGTACTCTTCCATATTGTCTTTTAGATTTCATTGTTTTTCTTAAATAAAAATTTACAGAATAGCTTTTGAATGTAAGATATGCAAAGCTTACCATATTAAACTATATTATCATTTAAAAATTTTGACTTGTATAATACTTAGAACTTTCTGAAGATACTTTTAAATATATTGTAGGAGTCATATTTTTGTAAGAGTTATATTTAAGCCAGCTCTTTATATAGTATCTTTATTTAACAATTAATTTTAAATTTATTGTAGGAGAGAGGAAACTAAAGAAGTCCTCTTTTGTAGACATAAAAAGATGAAAGTTCAAAAAGTATTTAAAATATCTGAAACAATACAGTATAAGAAAACTTATTTTAGATATTATTTTTAGAATTGTGTGAAAGAATTTGTGAATTGTCCCATTTTTTACATAATACTGACTTATATAAATAAGTGATATACATTTTAAGTGCTTTTTGTTACACTTTTATATATTCTTTTTTAATTAATCAATTGTATTGGTATATTTAAGGTATAGAATATTATGCCTTTCATCATAGGAAATTTGCACCTTTACATAATCCATCTTGGTTATTTTTTCCCCATTCTCCTGCCTTCCTTTCAACCCCATCCACCCCTCCCTATCTACAAGGACTTTATTTCCAATTTTTGTTCTTCTTCTTTTCATATTAATTCCATTCCTTTCTTTCTTTTCTCCTATCCCTCCTACTTCCCTTGTCCATCTTTTCTTCCTATTTCACATATCTATTTTCGATGTTATTGTTGTTCCTACATGCTCATTCTGGTTGTTCAACAGTTCTCAAGACCTCAAAGAGAGTGAGTAACTTTTTTTTTTTAATGTCTTATGTAGTGGTAGTGTAGATGAAACATAGAATTAGAGCAAAGATTCCATTTTCAGTTCATCTAGATATCTCTTCTTGGATTGGCTATCTAATCTTAAAGTGTAATGAAACTTCTAATGCAATTTGTAGGAATATAAAATTTTATAAAATATCAGTCCAGCATCAGTTTCACAAAATGGTACATTTTACTATTCTTCTAGTAATTTACAACTTCCCTGAAAGCCACTTATATTTTCTTCACATAGTAGGAAGTCAGAGGACCTCAAAACCATGACCTCTACTTTCCATACTAAACTGTAGTGCTACAGCTCAGGAATTACAGATTCATGCTTCATTCATTTTTTAAGAACTAATAACTTCTAGATATTTATGGCAATTTTTAAAAGTTATTTATCGTATAATGAAGAATCTAAAGAAATTCACAGAAATAGAAACAAACACTGTTTCCTTTTCTCATTTTACATAGTAGGCCTTTAAAACAATCAGAAATCAAAGGAAACCGCAGTTATATTTTATTGAGTAGATTTTAGTTTAAATAAACAAGAAACCTAACAAAACCATTAATACTCATTTTTTTCAACAAAATGCAAAATATTAACTTTTCAGATTTAAATTAATAATATTGCATTGTGTTTGTAATTTCTGAAGAATGTTCTCTAAAGTGACCTTACAACCTTCAAAATTGTTCACCTTTGAAAAATAGATGCTATGGTAGTAATATATCTGGAATTAATGTGTTGAAAATTAGTCCTTGATATCAATACTGAGTTTGTTGGATTACTAAGAGGTGATAAAAGACTAAGAGTTAACTATGCTCATGAATGGATTAGTGATGCTGTCATGAGACTGAATCCGTTACAAGAGCAAGTTGTTATAAAGAAGGGATGCATCTTGGTTTTTATACTCTAAATGCATCTGCTTAGCATTTCCATTTTTCTACCACATTGGAATTCCAGCCTCCATCTGAGTAAATTTTATTCTTTATCAATGCATCAGGTATCCCCTCACAGTAAAACTAAAATAAATAGCTATATGATTAACTAGTATATTTACTATATTCTTCCAATTTGCATATATATGATGAAAAAATAGATTTCCAGTAGTATACAACTTTGATTTATGTATTATTTTCTGCAAGATCTATCAAATGGCATTTCCATTAATGTCTTACCAATAAATTTATCTAGGGCCAGGGATTTAGCTCAGTGGTTCTGCCACCTGCCTTGCAAGCACAAGGTCCTGAGTTTGATCTCCAGTACCACAAAAAAAAAATTATCTGTTGGAGATTGATGATTTTATTTTATAATTGACCAATTTTTAGCTGTTAAGTCCTTGCTCAGTATTTTAGCAACATTATTTGAAAGACTGGGGAATCAATTTATTTTTTAATTAATGTATTTATTTATTTTTGGTTTTTTGAGACAGGGTCTCACTATGTAATTGAAGCTTACTTGGAACTCACTATGTAGCTCAGGCTGGTTTTGAACTCACAGTGATCCTCATGCTTCAGCCTCCAGAGCGCTGGGATTACAGGTGTGCACCACCATTCCCAGCTTGGTAAATCAATTTAAAGAGGCAGGTTTATCAGAAAACAATTTCTAAAAAATGGTTGGGGAAGGAATCATGACTGTAGAAACTGTACTATATTTCATCTGATTAAACTCTTATGAAAATAATTATTTTATCACAAGTTTGACTCTCTGATTTCAACATGAACACGTTAAGATTCTTTGTAACTCTTCTGTGAGCATCTACAGGAAATTGAGAGCAAAACCTAGACTCTACTCTACTTTTGACAAAAAATTTACAGGGCCATATTCCTTCCTTTTATGATAAATGTTAAATATCTTTGCCTTGAAAATATGATATTTTAGACTGCATATTCAAAATTAAAATGACTTTTGTAAAGTAAAATTACCCACTAAAATTCAGCCAATAATATCCAAAGGATATGTTCTATGAGATAATAAAAATGAGATTACCAAATTACATAAGGCTCACTTTTATGACAATTAGCTTTAAACACACAAATTTAACATGGCTTTAAAACTACTCTCATAATTTGGAGAGAGTTGAGGATGGCTCTTCTTCTTTGAAGTTAGTTTCTAAATTAATTAATTTGTCCATTTTACCTTTCATAGCATCCATGCCTCCCACAGCATAAAGTGCCCCTACAGTGGATTTTCTGGGCTTTGTTCGAGGGCTTTGCATCATGAGTCTTCTCTCAGGTAATAAATGATACTTCATAGCTTCCATTAGGAGTTTCTGACACTCAAGATCTCCACTAAACATGGAACTATTTTCAAGATCTGCCAGTAACTGAAAATAATAATGTATGACAAACAAACAAACAAACAAAAAAGAATGCACCATTAGAAAGAATATACTTGGTTGTATAACTTGGGAGGAAACTCGTGCTAATTCAAATGTAAATTTTATACTTTTGAGCATTTTGTTACTTAGATATTTTTTAACTTCACTTATGTAAAATAACCAAATGCTTCATCGTAGTTGTTATGACTTAATTGATAGTGTTCATAGTTTGAATATGTACCTATATCTTCAGAAGGGGTGAGAATAAAAAAAGCACTTATAAAAAGTGCTACTGAAGCAAGACATGGTATCACAGGCCTGTATTCCCAGCACTCAGAAGTGTGAGACAAAATGATTTAAAGTTTAAGGCCATCCAGAGCTTTACAGTGAGAGTCTGTCTCAAAATAAACAAACAAAATATATAAAGGGTTGGGTTTATAACTCATGCAAAGATTTACTCCCTCATACTTTCGGGAAAAATTATTGAATCTTAAGCCTAGCTCTTGAGATACTGATAAGTCTGTTAATTTGAGGCCAGCCCAGTTTTGAAAAATGTTTGGGCATGTGGCTCAGTGGTACAGTTCTTTATTAGCATGCACATGGTCTGGGATTCAATCATTAATACTGAAAGAAAAATTCCTAACTGAAAGCAGCCATAAAAAAAGGCTGTAAATTTTCAGAGTAAGTCTCTCCTTGTCAACTGCATGTAGCTAATGGAAGTACAGTTTTTTAGTGGGTTTTGGGTGATGGTAGTGGTAATGATCATGCAAACCTGCTCTCTTAAAATTATATAACCCATAGAAGTATGAATCTCTGTCACCAAATCACTTCTGTATTCTGAAAGTGTGTGTTTTTTAAATGGCTTAATGTGTATGAATTAATAACAAGTCAAGACATAATCAAAAATAGATGATAAATCCTACCATTACCTGACAGACAATAAGATCCAAGTGGATACAAATAAATGCTAGGCAAAATAATTTTCATGAGATGAATAGGAAATAAGTTAAAGTATACTTCAGAATGCTGTCAAGAGCTATATTATAGCTGAGCATGGTGGTGGATGCCTGTAATCCCAGCACTCAGGAGGCTGAGGCAGGAGGATTGCTGTGAGTTTGAGACTAGCCTGGGCTACATAGTGAGTTCCAGGTCAGTCTCAGCTACATAGTGAGACACTATCTCAAAAAAAACCCCAAAAAGTACTTTAAAACTTGTTTTGGAAAACTTATACTTGTAAGTTAACAGCTATACAAATTGATACATGTTATACATCACATAAACAGAAGTAAAGACAAACATCACAAGATCATCTCAACTGACAGAGAATGAGAATTTGACAAAATGCAGTGTTCTTTCATGCTAGAAAAACTGAAGGAAATAGCTATAGGAGGAACTTCTCAAATGATGAAAGCTACTGATTATCAACCAAATGTCAACGTTATATTTTAAGTACACTAAGGAGGAATACACAGCATCAGGCATGACCTAGGTGACTACAGTAATAGAGATAACCACATGCTTACTCATGGGAAGAGGCTGCCCTTTGTGAGACTTTTGCATACTTTTGCCATGTACCCATAGACACTGCAAAAATTGGCTCAGCCCAGAAATAAAGGCTAAGACTGTGATTGTACTAATCACTGAAGCAGTCATTTTTAGAAAATCAGCTTACCCCTACAAATATGGGTAAGATAAATAACATGCTAAGAAGCGCATTGCTTGAGCTTCTCCCTGTCAGATATTTAACTGTTTGGCAGACCCTGGTTCTGCCATATTATTAATAAAACTCTGCTTCATATTACTTGTCATTTTCTGAGTTTCTCCTTCTCTGTCTGTGACAAATTGACTTCTTTACATTTGGGAGATCTTTAATTTAGAATCTTGTCCACCTCTCCATTCTTCACTGGGGTCTAGGCCAAGAACTTGAGGAATGGTGACCACACCACAGGAGATCCCTAGGCTCCCAGCCACCACTGTGATATAACAGTATAAAGTGTCAAAACGTTAAATGAATTGCCCTTTAAAATCAGAATCAGCTGGGGATCTAGCTCAGCAGTTCGGTGGCCTGCCCAGCAAGTGCAAGGACCCAAGTTCGATCCCCATTACCACACACACACACACACACAAAATCAGAATCAAAGTAAGGATTCAACTATTACCACTACTATATACTACAGTACTCACAACATTAGCAGGAGCAATGAGGATAAAGATAGAAATAAAAAGGATGTACATAGGAAAGGAAGAAGTCAATTTATCATTATTTGTATTGACATGATCTACATAGAGAAAAATTCCACAAAATTACTCCTAGAATTAATAACCAAATATGGCTGTGCAACAGTATAAAAAATCAACACACACCATGCTTGCCTGGCAAGCAAAAGGTCCTGATTTCAATCTCTGGTACAAAAAAATCAATAATATTCCTATACTCTAATAATGGACTCACTGAGAAAGATATTAGGGAAAAAACACCATTATCAATAGCATTAAAAAATTAAATACTTAGTATTTAACCAAGGAAGTGAAATACCTCTACAATAAAAACTATAGTACTCTAAAAGAAGATCAAAGAGGGCATCAGAAACTGGAATGATATCTCCTGTTCCTGGACAGGCAGGAAAAATAATGTGAAATGGCCATGCTTCAAAAACTGATAAATAATTTTAATACAATATAAATCAAAATACCAACAACATGCCTTGCAGAACCAAGGAAAACAATCTTAAAATTCATATGGAACTAGAAGAGTCCAATAGTAGTAAAATCAAACTTGGGCCACAAAAGCAAAACAGTAGGCATCATAATCCTGGAATTTACTTTCTATAACAAAGCTACAATGACAAAAACAGCATGCTATAGGCACAAAAACATAAGTGAATCAATGAAAAGAATAGAGGATACAGAAATAAACTCAGATACATTCAGTTAGCTGATTTTTGACAAAGAAGTCAGAAACATATATTGGAAATAAGATAGACTCATTTTCAAATAGTACTGAGAATACTCGCTATACACATTCAGAAGTTTGTACTATACCCTTATCTCTCACCATGTAATAAAATCAAAATGAATAAAATACTTAAATATTAAAACACAAGCACTTAATCTTGTGGAAGATAAAATAAGTAAAACACTTGAAGTTATAGGCACAGGCAAGTATTTTCTGAATGGGAACCTAACTGCACAAGAAATACATCGATTGTTTTCTTTAAATGTACCAATAAACTTAATGGGAAAAAAGAATAAACAAGCAGTATTACCAAATTAAAAAGCTTCTGCACAGCAAAGGAAATGATCAACAGAGTAAAGAAACAACCTATAGAAAGTGAAAAATTTTTGCTAGCTACACCACAGACAGAAGACTGATACCTACAATATATGAAGAACTAAAAAATATTAGATCTCTCAAATTTAAAGACCTATTAAAAGTGAATATCTTGGTTCTTACTTTTCCCCAATCCCCTGACCTCTCTTCAACCCCTCCACCCCTACCTATTTACAAATACTTTGTTTCTATTTTTTCCTGTTCTCATATTTATTCATTTCCCTTCTTTGCTTTGCCCTTTCCGTTTGGACCTTTTCTTCCTATTTCACATTATCTATTATGTTATTTTGATCCCTACTTACACTTTCAGTTTCTCACACCAGAGAAGCTGTTCTATATTCACACATGTAAAAATGAATGTCTAAAGTGAATAGATACTTCTCAGTTGAAGAAATACAAATGGCCAATAAGTACATGAAAAAATTTCATTTTATAATAGCTAAATCTTAGAATCAGCCCATATGCCCATAGACGATGAATGGATAAAGAAAAATGTAGTATTTATACACAGTGGAGTACCACTTTGCCATAAAAAGGACAAACTTGAAACAGTTTTTAAGAAAACAAATTTATCTCAAGACTATAAAGTGAAATTAATTAGACACAAGTTTAAATATTGTGCTTTTTGTCTTGTGTGAGAAACCCAAAATATAAATAAAGAACAAAATGTAGGATTGATATTATGGAAATTATTATGGGAATTCCTCAAAGAATTAAACATAGATATTCCCTTTGATCCAGCTATGACTCTTTTTGGTATTTTTCCAAAAGAATTAAAGAAATCACATTACAGTGATGCACACCCATATTTCTAGCAGCATAACTCATAATATCTAAATCTTGGTAGAGGCCTATATTTTCAGCAACCGATGACTGGATAAAGAAAATGGGGTATTTACACACAATGGCGTGCTAGTCTGACATAAAGAAGGATAAACTGTGATTATATCAAAATGGATGCATCTTGAAACCATAACAGTAAGTGAAATAAATCAGACACATAAGGTTAAGTGCTTCATGGTTTATTTTTTTAAATGAGAAAGCAAAGTGATTAATAGCAAAATAAATGTTAATAGGAAGCAGGGAGATAGATTTTTGCAAAATGGAAGGGGATGAGGACATGAAGGGGGATAGGAAGGGGAGGGGAAAGAGAAGAAAAAGAAGTAAGATATGTTATGTACCTGTGATGTCATGTTATATACATGAACCAACTCACTACAATGAGTGTAATCATTATGCACTACAAACATGAACTAATAAAAATAAGAATAAAATAAAAACAAAAAATGGGCAACTACTGAATGAATTGATGCACGGTGGTAGTTAAAGCTCTGGTTCACGTTATCTGGATAAATTTCCATACCTGTGGTGGGAGTAATGGCAGTCTGATGTATGAAAGCAATATTGCCAGGTCTCTTTGCCTTGTCTGAGCATCATGGCTCACCCACTGCATTAAAGCATAGAAAATAGTTTCTTCATCAGGCACATTAATTTCGTCACTGCACAGAAGCTTTGAAATCTCATTAGCTGGAAGCTGAAGAAATTCTTGATTCTTTATAACTTCAATGAAATGCTCCTAGAAAAGAAAGGCCATCTATTGAAACTTTGCACTTTAGAATTTTCTTAGTAAAAGAAGCATATCAAAACATTTTACTGTGCCTACTTTGAGAAAAATGTCAGAGAAATAGATACACCCACTTTTAATCAGTTGGTGCTATTGTTATCCATGAAAGGAATGTGGAAGCATTCTGAAGCAGAGGATGCTTGACTGAGGATTATTTAGTGATCACAACAAAAGCCTTAATTACTTTTTAGGCTGTATGGGCAAAGTGCTACCAGTACTTTCTCTTTCAGAAATTGTTAAAGACAATAACATCTGATGACTTCAGAAATGACTGTTGAATTTGTTTTTTAGCTAAAACCCCAAGAAAAGATCTGATAGTTTTGAAGAAGGAGGTTATCATGAAGGTATGGGAGGACTCAGTATCTTTATGTGTTTTACAGTGTAACTACTCATTTTTTGAGATGCAAAAAAGATACAGCATTAATAAAAATTATGGAAAATAATGATATTCTGTCAGTAAAAATAAATATATCATTTTACATTACATTGCAATCAACAGATTTAAGACCATATAAAATAGACTCCACTACAAAGTGCTTCTTTGTTTTCTTTTCTGTGGTACTTGGGACTGAACTCAAATCCTTTACACTGAGCTATATCCCAGCGCATGTCTATGTATGTATGTATGTATGTATGTATGTATGTATGTATGTATCTATTATCTATCTATCTACCAACCTACTTTGAGTAGAATTTAGTCATGGTGATAGATAGAGATTTAGTTTTAATCTTTGGCAGGTTGAAATCCAGTTTTTCTGACACAATTTATTGAAGAGGCTATTTTTCTTCTAGTGAGTGTCTTTGTATCCTTTATCAAAGATGTGGTAGCTGAATACATATGAAGTTGTTTCTGCACCTTCTAATGTATTCCACTGACCTTCAGTTCTGTTACTTTGCAAGTACCATGTTTTGTTTTGTTTTTTTTATCATAATGACTTTGTAGTATAGTTTCAAGTTGGGGGTTGTGATACCCCTTGTCATGTCTCTGTTGCCTAGAATGGCTTTGCTATTCTAGGTCTCTTCTCATTCCAAATGAATTTTTGTGCCATTTTCTCTAGTTCTGTGAAATATACAGTTAGGGTTTTGATACAGATTTCATTTAATCTGTATAGCAGTTTTGGAAGTATGTCCATTTTCACTATGTTCTTCATACATAAGAGCAAGGGATGTCTTTCCATTTTCTTATATTCTCTTTGAACTCTTTTTGTAGAGTGCTGTAGTCTTCAGTATAGAGGTCTTTTGCTTTGTTTGTTAGATTAATTCCTAGATATTTAATTTTTTGGATGCTATTGTGAAAGGAATTGTTTCCCTAATTTCTCTCTCAGTGAGTCTGTTACTTGTGTACAAGAAGACTATTGATTTTTGAGTGTTGACCTTGCATCTAGGTACTCTATTGAATCTGTCAATTGAGTCTAGGAGTCTATTGGCAAAATTTTAGGGCCCTTCTATGTAGACTATTGTATATTTAGCAAATAATGACAGTTTAAATTCTTCCTTTCTTATCTTTATTCCTTTATTTCTGAAAAGCAGTATTTTAACAGAGCCTTTACCTATTAGTGTATTCACAATAAACACTAGCACAACCAAAGCAGGGTGATTAATGGAGGCAATACTGTGCAGCTAAAGAATGGAAATAAAAGGTGACAGCACTATTGCATTTCTCTGCAGATCCTGCTTTACCACCTAGTTTCTGACACAATATGAAAAGGAAGATAAGTTTATTTTGAGCAATAAATGGATTTTAAACTGTTTATTAGAATGTTCTTTGCCTGTAAGCATAAGTAACCAAAGAAAACTGTGAATATTTCCTTCAAGATTTTAAGTAATTGAACAGGAAGTCTTTGTGTTTGGTTTTTGTGGTTGTATTAAACTTTGAAATACACATTTGCTATTTCTTTAGATTATATGAGACAAAGATCTAGATTATTTAGAACAAAGGAATCAAAATAATGCAATAATGTGAAACACTTTATCAATCCATTATAATATGATTCTCAAAAAGATATTGCTTCAGAAATATGTGTGAAACTTCAGATTTTGAACAAGAACCTGTGTTGAGAAGAAGGAAGGAAAAAGATTTATAAGAAAATGTTACATAATTCAAATTTTATAAACTTGAAAACATTTAAATTTGTATAATGTTCTAGAAAAATGCTGTGTGTTTATTTTCATCTCTATCAAAAACATAGGTACATTTTTATCAGTTGTCCAAACAATTCTCCACTGTTCACTTGTGTGCAGCTGTTTCATTTTTAAATTGAAAAAATGAATCAATTTGTTTGTTAGAAATACTTATCTTTTAATTATGTTTAACAGAAAGATCCATCTCATTTCATTCACTACTTCACAAGTTTAAAAGTTCATTTTATTCTTTGCATTATTTAAGTATTAGTATTAGTGGTGAGGCTTTTCTTTTTGTCATCTATGCAGTTTATCTTGGTTCTGGCAGCCTGTTTGTAGTGGTTGTTACCTGACTGAATAAAGATGCTTTCAACATATAAAATTATAAATAATTGTCACTTGGCAGATCCCAGGGAGCAGTAGAGTGGTCCCAACCAGAGCAGCTGCAGGCAGATCCCAGCCAGGGATCTGTCCCAAACCAGAGGCACTCGCAAACCCACCCAGCCAAAGTCTGTTGAGCAAAGAGCTGCACAGGCACACAAGCTTCAGTGAGAGGCCCACCTCATAGAATCTGTTAGTGTGCACAGATCCTGGGAAGCAATGGATTGGTCTAGACCACTACAGCTGCAGGCAGATTCCAGCCAGGGATCTGCCCTGACACCAGAGTGTTGGGGCACGAGAGGACGGGTGGCCGAAGTGCTGACCCCGAGCCCTGGAATGCTGGTTCTCACCGGGGCACAGGAGTCCCAAAGGAGACGTGCTGGAGCCAAATCCATTGACCAACAAACAAACCCCTGAACTCTGCGTTTGCTCTTGTTCCCAGTTTACACTCCCTTCTGGTCATAAACAGATGCTGTCTTATCTTGATGTTATGCTCTTAGCTTAAACAGTGTATATCTGCTTGACGCTTCTTGTGACTTGATTTTTTATCTTACTCATGCCTCCTTGTGATTGAGGTTTATTACCAATCACTGAGATCATGCCTGTGGTGTGGCCCTGAAACTAGTATATAACACCCGGTGTTAGAAATAAACTTTGCCATTAGCCATCAGCTTTTGGTCATTCATTGTGTCCATGGTCATCTCCCCGAGTCCCCTCCTCTAGAAGGAGACCTCAACAAGTGGTGCCTGAATAGGGACTCGGCAGAACCCAGAAACGGGAAACGGAACCAGGAACGATGCGAGTGGTGTTAGACACAACCTCGGGAATAGGGCGTTCTCAAGGAAAGTTTGGAACTTTCTCCCCTGTGAAATAACTATCCAGGAAAGAAAATTTACTGGACTCGCAGATTCTGGCACTGATGTTTCAGTCACCGCCAAGAGGCACAGGCTTTTTACATGGCCCTATCACCAGGTCCATTGTGCTATATCTGGAGTAGGCTCTACAGGCTCCTACACACTTCAATCATCCCAGTTACCTACAGTGAAGGGGCCAGATGATCAGAGTGCATATTTGCAACTGTATATTTTTAGAAAATAAAAAAAAGAGGCCAACACTGTGTTATCAGCCTGATGCTGCCTGCAAAGATCTGAAATACAAAACAAAGCCAGAGAAACTGCAACTGTGTTTTACCAGACCTTAAGAGATATTATAAGAAAAATCATTTTATAAATTTTAACTATTTGATAAATGTATCCTTGTTTCAACTTGAATTTAATTGGTGTACTTAAAACTGTTCTTGTACATTGCAAATTCTTGAATTACGATTATAGGATTAACTTGCTCTTTTCTGTACTTTTTGATAGAAAACTCAAGGTTAAATCTGTTCTCTTGGCAGCCAGTCAAATTTTAAGATGTAGCAATGTGAAAACAGCAAGAAAGACACTTAAAGATTTCAACAGCTAAAGTTTGTTATGAAAGGTTCATAGTAAATGAGACAGAGAAAATATTTTAAAAGCTATAAATAAAAGAGATATACTTTTGACATGAAGAGTTTTTGTTTGTTTGTCATGTTAAAAAGAGATGAAAAAAGGATATACAAGACCAGAAGGCTTAATTATATAAAAAAGGTGTGAGAAAATGATTTAACAATAAAATATGTATATTTGCTTGTTGTTTTCAAGTTTGTTATACAAGGTTTACATTTACAGTCATAAAGAGTTTTCATTTCTTTTGATTCTAATTTTACAAGAGATCTCTTTTAATTGACCTACATTTTGACTAGTCATAACTAAGAGATTTTATAATTCAATTGGCCAAATTCATTGAGTGCACTCTAGTTTCATAAATTGTCTTATGTGTTTGTCTGTGTCTGTCCAATTGTTTGAAAAGTGTTTATCCAGTTCCATTTTTTATTAAAATGCTGTCAAGTATACAAATAATTTGTTAATTTCTACCATCAGGTTTTATAAGTTAAAAATTTGTCAAGATAATTAAATATAAACTTTTGGGTACACTTCTATTGGTAAAAAAAAAAAACGACTGCTCAGAAATATTTATTCTGGTCTTTGTTCACTAATGGGAGCCCCAATAATTTTCATAGCCTTATAAAAAAACACATATGCCTCATCATATATGTTGTTATAAAATGTTTACATTGGTTATCATCAAGAGGTTACATTCTAAATATGTTATTGTGATGAGTTTATAATGGTCATTTTCAAAATATGCTGTGTTCTATAGGAAAACAAAGAGATATTAAGAGCTTTTATTGAAAAAAAATGCATTTAATATCAAACCAAACTAAAGGACATAAAGTTTCATACATATAATTATGATTATTATTGTTAATTTTCTGATATACTAAATAAATAAATACTTCACAGGGTATTAAAAACTATTAATACTGCTTCAAGAGATAAGTTATAAAGTTTCATAAAAAAGGCTCAAAT